TGTTTGTGATTGAGTAGATTATCTGTGGTGTGTGTGATTGAGTAGATTATCTGTGGTGTGAGTGATTGAGTAGATTATCTGTGGTGTTTGTGATTGAGTAGATTATCTGTGGTGTGTGTTATTGAGTAGGTTATCTGTGGTGTTTGTGATTGAGTAGATTATCTGTGGTGTGTGTGTGATTGAGTAGATTATCTGTGGTGTGTGTTATTGAGTAGATTATCTGTGGTGTGTTATTGAGTAGATTATCTGTGGTTTATTAAATGTTCTGTTTCTGTTTTACAGAGAAGTTTGAGGTTGTGGGTCCAGATGCTCCTGTTGTCGCTACAGATGGTTCTGATGTTGTTCTGCCGTGTTCTGTTCGACGCTCGGATGGTCATTCCAGTCTGAGTGCTGTGGATTTGAACATTACGTGGACCAGATCAGACCTGGGAGGTGCTGTAGTTCATTTCTATGGAAGTCATAAAGACATGAACACCAGTCAGAGTCCTGATTACAGAGGGAGAACAGCTCTGATTAAAGAGGAGCTACAGAACGGCTCCGTCTCACTGAGACTGAGTGAAGTTAAAGTTTTTGATGACGGACAGTACAGATGTCGTGTTGACTCTGAATACTGGGAGGATGAGGTCTCTTTTGATCTGAAAGTTGAAGGTAAAAGTCGTTCCGTTTATATTATATTTAAAATAAAGCTTATTAATTTAGTAAATGTTCATGTGAAAGGAAGTGATGTCACACTCACTCGTATTTCATTTCCTTAATCCACAGTTATTGGAGAGCGTCCAGTGATCACCTTGGAGAGCTATGATAGGAAATCAGAGGAGTTCAGTTTACTGTGTGAGTCTAAAGGCTGGTTTCCTAAGCCTGATCTTCAGTGGCTGAACAGTAGAGGAGAAATTCAGACTGCAGGAGTTACAGAGTCACAGAGACACGCTGAGCTGTTCAGTGTGAAACGACGCTTCACTGTACATAAGAACAACATCGACACGTTCCTCTGCAGAGTCTCACTGGGAGAACACTGGAAGGAGGACGAGATCAAACCTAGTGTCTTCTATGGTGAGTTACTCCACACAGCGGAAAACACTCTGAATCAGCACAAGAACTCTCTGAACTCTCCAAGAAGGAGCTGTTTTAAAATGGTGTATATATAATTCATTAATTTAGACTTATTTATTTATTTATTTTCTTAAATTAAATATTAAAATATTTAATTTACAAATTCAACTCAGTTTTCTCCAAATATCCACCTGTTAAGGCAGCATTTAAAACACGTCCAAAGCAGAAAGAGCATGTAGAGTCAAATAACATACAGTACTGAGGAAAAGTCAGAGACCACCCTTTCTCCTGTGTTTAATTTCCAGTAGGGGGCGACTCAGTGCACATTTTTAGAGACTGGGTTTGTGAGAAGATGCGCAGTGGAAGTGAAGAGAGTCAGATTTCATGGTACAGAATATGATAATGAGAATAGTTTGTGCTGCTCTGTTTAACACGTTACACACATTCCTAAAGTAATGACCATCAGTGGCTCTAAGAACTGGACACACCTGGTTTGGTCAGCTGACCTTAGACGGCCGATTAGCCCAGCTGTTTAAAGTGGCCAGGTTTCTCAGTTGTGTTCAGTAATGAGGGAGGTGCTGATACGACTTCTCCTCTTCTGATACCGATACTGGATTATTGAGTCTGGGCTGATACTGAGTACCAGGTCCAGTACTAGTTCAGTCTGACCTGTCTGGTCCTGATGTTTCTATCATTTCACTGTTTAAATATATATCCTTTGTGAGGTCAGATTGGGGTCAGCGTGTGTCTGTTAGTCAGAGGTGACTGAATGGACAGACGCAGGTGTAGCCGAGAGCCGGATGAGGAGAATTATTTCATAGCTCAGTTAATTAACGACGTCAATAAGAAAGAGAACATCACAAACACAGTGTACCGGAGTCAACCTGCACTCTCGAAAGAGACGGTTCTTCAAGGGTTCTATAGTAAAGAAAAAGTGTGAAACCAGTCGCTGCTGCAGACCTACAGGCAAATAGGCCAACCTTAGCCGACCTCAGCTGCAGATGAGAGAGACAGGGAGCTGAGTTTGGGTGGTGGTTTATGTGAGAGTTAGTGATGAATGAAAGAACGTTAGTTGTTCGTGTGAAAGTCTGAAGTTGAACAGGGAGTCAGTGACTTGTTTGGGAGCAGATTTCAGTGAGAGGAGCAGCTGGAGCTCATCGGTGTTTAAGTAGAGATACATGATGATCAGAATCATATCAGTATTTACAGATATGTGCTCTAAATGATCAGATCGGACCGATGATTAGATATGACCGACATTTCAAACCGATATTTGCTGATATTTTTATCCACAAGAGAGGAACGTGTGGGACACTGAGTTACTCTGCCATAATGTCTGTGTTTGATTAGTTTAGTCTGTTTGTAACTTTACAGAAAAAAAAGTCAGATTTCTCTGTAATGTAAACTACATAGCAGAGTAAAAACAGTGAACACTTTAATAATCATATTTCAGTGTTTGTCTTAAATGTTAATGTAGGTAAAGTGGCTCACTGAGACTCGAGTGCAGCACAGATGAGTTTATATCTTCATCAGATCTGAGAGCTTCAGTGGTGGAGTAGCGCTAGATAACACTCTGGAACATGTGAGACCAGGAGGCAGATTTACTGACTCGTTTTGTGTGGCTATAGTGATTTATTGGTCCTGTAGCAGCTTAAAACAGTCAACAGTGCTTCGTTATTCAGCCTCAGTGCTTCTGCCTTTATAGGAGTTTCTGTCTCAGAGAGCACTGAGATTATTATGAGGCACAGACTCAGATCACCAACACTGATTAAGTACTGACTGTGTTCTGATTAACACCTGAGAGAAGATCAGCTTCTCTTCACTGCTGACACTGAACTCAGAGAGAAAAGAGAGTTTCTCTGACAGTTTCAGTGAAATATAAAAACACATGGAAACACCTGCAGTGCTTTATTCTCAATGTGGTGAAAATATATAAACAAGGAGTTTAGGAGGTTTGATTTACTAATGATGTCATACTTTTCCAAACAGGTGATAAAAGCAGCAATGAACTGGTGATGAGTTTTTATGGCAGAGTCCAGTTTCTTCAGATAAACTGGCAGATGAGCCATTTTTATTAGCCTTTTCTGTGTGAAGTTTGCACTTTATGGGGTAAATAAACAGATGAAACACACCAGCACGTTTCCAGTTTACCTGAACTTGTGTGTTTATATAGAAGACTGACTGTCAGGGGTGGCGCCACACCTCCAAACATATTGTTTCCAAAATAAAAAATAGCAGCTGGCTGAGTGATGAAATGCAATTAGGCCATTGACTAAATTGCCTTTTATGTCAAAAGACTTTAATAACGTCTTTATAAACCTATTCAGAGGTTGGTAGTAACTCAGTACCTTTACTGAAGTACTTTAGTGAAATATTGATGGATTTTTACTCTCCTGAGTTTTTCAAGTCATGTTACTTTCATATCTGTTCAGGTCTTTTAGTGAGTAAAGGAATCTTTTACTCTGTTACATTTCAGCCATTCATATTTAGATACTGATTCAATTTTATCTGTTTAATTTCAGTTTGTTTTGATGGTGATATTTGTACTGCTTTGTGATTGGTTACATCTCTGAGTTTGGAGTTTCTGTATTTTAAACCAAAAAAAATCCCAAGAAGAAAAAAACAGAACTGCACAATCTTCAGTTCCTGTGCTGATAAATGCTGGATGCAGTAAGAAGTTCTACTGCAGAACTCAGTACTCTGTGTACGTACCAATCAGGTCGCTGATGTTTGGACAGAGATTTGCTCCAGGATCCATAATCAAACACACATCATTATTTTGCTGCTTCTTTGTGGTTGTTTACTGCAGCTGGCAGTGCAGGAGAGATATGAGTGTTTATGAAGAGTGAGATGTTGAAGCAGCAGGTTGTTCAGACGGTACAGCAGAAATGAGCTCTAGAAAGAAAACGTGTTGGATTCCCTCGTGACTCAGTGCGGTTCAGTTGTTTGGTGCTGCCTGAATTCAGTTGGAGTCGCATGTCAAAACCAAACTGAACGAAAAGTTGGACAGGTTCACACCAACCAAGGCGGGTCTGAAAGCACCTCCCGCTGAAATGGAGGTTCTGATTGGCTCTGCTGCTCAGTCTCACTCTGTCTGTTCGTGCTGGTCAGCGCTTCATGAAGTTTAGGGAATGCACAGTACTTTGAAAAGTGTTGGGTCAAATGCCCGCTGACCACGCAGGTTCCGGCAGCCATCAAACCACACGGCTTGCTCACATGATATAAACATGCTTTCTTGATAATATTCCTTATACATTACTGTGGTTCCCAGCCCTTATCCTGGAGGACCCCCTGTACTGCACAGTGTTTCCCCTGCGCCCAACAGGTGGTGGGGGACAGGAGAATGAGGACTAAGCTAACAAACATGCTGAAGAACCTGTCCCACCCCATGCACCGCTCTCTGACAGCACTGAGCAGCTCCTTCAGTGCCCGGCTGCGGCACCCGCGGTGCGTGAAGGAGAGATACCGCAGGTCCTTCCTCCCAGCCGCTGTCAGACTCTATAACAGTCACGGCACTCAGTAGACAGTAGTTTACAATTACTTTCCATGTGCAAGAACTCTCAACATCACTGCCACAGCACTTTACTGTGTGCAATACCTCAATCCACCATGCGTAGTATATTCACTGCGGATCACTGTCAACATGTTTACCACCATTATGTGCAATTATGTCAAGTGCAATATTTCTCCATTTATTACTGTTTATTTATTTGCTATTTTATTCACTGTGCAATACTCACTACAATACATACATTTCTACATTTCTAAATTTAAATTTAATACTTTGTATATTTTTCTTGTAATCTTTGTACATATACATATATATCTTTATACTTTTATTGTTTATTCTATTTTATATACTTGTATATTTCCTGCTGCTCTGTCTTCTGTGCTGCTGTAACACCGCAAATTTCCCCGTTGTGGGATTAATAAAGGATTATCTTATCTTATCTTATCTTATCTTATCTTAACACACCTGATCCAACTGCTCAGCTGATTAACCAGCCCTTCATCACTTGAAGTGGGTGAGTTTGGAACAGGAAAATACTAAAATGTGCAGGGCAGCAGAACTGAAGGACCAGAGTTAAGAACCTGTGATGTATTGATAACAAGGTTAGCAGTATTAGATTCACAGCATTGATATGATCCACAGATTTTTAATCTGTTATTCAGGGGATATCATTTTAGCAGTGATTGACACACAGATCCAAGTATTAAAAGTAGTCCTTTATAATGATGTTAGTTTGTTCAACGTTTTGAGCCTGTGAAAATGGAGGGACAGTGTAAAAAATAGCTGTAATTCCTAAACGGTTAATACAGTGTTTATGTTAAACCCCTTGAATTAAAGCTGGAATTCTGTCCTTCAGTCACACCTTGACTGCTTCATTTCAAATCCATTGTTCTGGTGTACAAAGACAAAATTACGAACACTGTGTCACTGTCCAAATACTTATGGACCTGACCTGTAGTTACTTTAGAACAAGTAAATATTAAAAATAATTAATTATAGCTGGTTTAGTTGAATCCATCATAAATTCATGCCAGTCATCCACATCAGCTCACCTTCAGAGATCATCACTGAACTGGTTTCTATGTGGACACTAAAACAGCAAAGATGAGAAACCATCTGCAGGAAGATCACTAAATCTTTAAATAGTCAAACAGTAGAACTTTAAATGATCAGATTAGAAGAGAAACACTCAGCAGCTACGTTTACATGCAGTCTGATAATCCGTTAATAATCAGACTAACAGCTGAATCAGAACAGAGTACGTCCATGTAAACACCTCAGTTGGAATGGGCCAGTCTGATTGAGGCCATTCTGAATACAGTTTCTGTCTGATTGGACGAGGTGGGTAATCCTGTACATAAGAAGAATAGCCACGTAGTGTAAATGCCTGTATCTGAATGGTGAAAGCGGCTCTCCCTCTGACTGGACTCACCTGATGCTTGTTATCATTTGTGTGTCCACACTGAGTGGTTCTCTGTGCATGCGTGTGATTTTGGGATCTGATCACCTGTAGCGTTCATGAAAACAGGAGATCTTCATCAGATTGTTGAGTAGAATGTGAATATAAACACCTCAGTCTGAATCTGTAATCAGAATGAATCAGTCGGGTTGGTGATCATCTAAATGTAAACACAGCCAGTGAGGGATGTTCAGTGAGAGGCTGCTGAATCATGGAGGCACCGTAGGTTTGGTGAATCATCTCAGATGTTACTGAATCCTTTTCTGAGTGCTGTTTGATTGACTACACTGGTCACTGATGCTTTCTGACACACGATAAGCAGAAGTCATGATCAGAACTGCTAAAACCTGACTTCATAAATACCATTTAGTAGTGGGTCATACTCAGCACTGCAGTAACACTGACGTGGTGGTGGTGTGTTATTGTGTGTTGTGCTGGTACGAGTGGATCAGACACAGCAGTGCTGCTGGAGTTTTTAAACACAGTGTCCACTCACTGTCCACTCTATTAGACACTCCTACCTTGTCAGTCCACCTTGTAGATGTAAAGTCAGAGACGATAGCTCATCTGCTGCTGCACAGTTTGTGTTGGTCATCCTCTAGTCCTTCATCAGTGGTCACAGGACGCTGCCCACAAGACGCTGTTGGCTGGATATTTTTGGCTGGTGGACGATTCTCAGTCCAGCAGTGACACTGAGGTGTTTAAAAACTCCAGCAGCACTGCTGTGTCTGATCCACTCAGACCAGCACAACACACACTAACACACCACCACCACGTCAGTGTTACTGCAGTGCTGAGAATGATCCACCACCCAAATAGTACCTGATCTGTGGGGGTCCATGGGGGTCCTGACCACTGAAGAACAGGGTAATAAAGTGTTCAGAGAAACAGATGGACTACAGTCTGTAACTGTAGAACTGAAACTGAATAAACGCTGATCTTTCCTTCAGGTGAAGCTGTGATTCCTGTGTAGTCTTAAAGCAGCTGTCTGTGCTACGTACCTATTTTCACTCATTAGCGCTGCTATCCAGCCCTGGTGTACATTATTAATGCACTGTTACTGCCCAGCAGTTACTGGATGTGTTTTGCACTAATGAAAACACTCAAAGTTGTAAGTAATTATGAAATGTAAGTATTATTGTTTTAGGGGTGACGAGTGTTCAAAGTCATACCGTCTGTTCACTGAACCAGGTTTATGGAGTAAGACTCTGAAATGATTATTTTGGGGGAAATAGTTTTAAATGGGTCTTTTTCCTCTTTTTTGAACACAGTATGTCATTTCTTCTTTAATACATTTCACACACAGTCTGAGAATATAAGCAGTAATCTAATCCTAGAAACTTCTGCTGCCTGTACAACACACCACACACCTGCTGACTGTCTGTTCACATGTGCCTGTGTTCATTCTTACACTTCTCTGTTTACAGAAGGAAGAGGAATATAGTAAAGAGGTAAAGTGGAGTTATTTCATTTCTTATTGTTTACTTTTACTTAATCAGAGAATCTGATACTGTATGATCCACTGAATCAGTGTAGAGCTGAAGGAGATCCACACATGTAAACAGTGAAACAGCAGAGGATCTGTTCACAGTCAGAACTGTTACAGAGCTCCATCCTGAAATGGGTGTTTGGAGATGAGGGTGAGAGTCACACTGAACATGAACAGAGCAGCAGCTCCAGAAGGGCACTGTCTGCTCCAACAACAAGACACAGCCTTATTAGGAAACAAGGACACAATAGACTTTATTCATCAAAGCTGCACTCAAATCTGATCATAAAACGAATGCCTGCAGATTTCACTGACTGTTCTGTTATTGATCTTTAGTGTATCCGTATGATCAAACTCTCGTCTGGTAGGAGTGAATAAATTTGAGTGTTATATTTAACCTGAACCTGCTTAATTTGAGGATTACTAACCAAAACTACCATCAGTATCATCTATAATACCAGTAATAAAAATAAAAATAGAAAATACAGCCCTCCACAAATATTGGCACCCCTGTTAACATGAATAAAATAGACTGTAAAGAACATTCCTTATTTCTTATTCTTTTAATCTTTCATTTAAAACACTTACCAAACCTTTATTTAAGGCAAAATGATTATTAGGAACACTTTAATTGTCAGTCATGGTTTCCTGTTTTAGTACACTGTAAAAAATCTGAGGAGACATCATCAAAAAACGTCAACATTCTGCAATCAGTTTTTTAAATAAGCAGAACTTTATTGCACAAAGTTATGTAAACTCAAAAAAGCTAATTTTAACTCAAGAGCACCAAACTCATTTAAATGTGTTTCATCAAGTAACATTTAGTATCCTCAGGACTTTAATTTAAGTTGACATGACTCACTGTTGCGAGTTGTTGGTCTGTACATACCATGTTGTATTTGCATGGTATGTACAGACCATGCAAACATAACTAATTAACTACAAATATACGTTTTTAAAACGCCACTTATTATAGATTATAATGTAGCGTTTCAGTCTGGCAAAGAATGCTGGGTATATGCAAATGAAACACTGCGCTACCTGTGACCTTCTCCCTAGACGGTGAAAAATGGATGAGCTTGTACAGAAGAAGGGTGTTACCGTGTCGGTTTGGCAGTGTTTTGGTTTCCAACCAGACGAACATGGAGAACCGTTAGATGTTAACAGTGTTGCGTGGCGTCTATGCAGAAAACTGATCATCACCAAAGACGGCAGTACTACCAATCAGGCACATCTCAGGAGACATCATCCAACTCAGCATGCTAAACTGGGTCCGGCACAAAGAGAAGGCAGTTCGTCAAATCAATCACAAGTGCTTTCGCAAAATGTACAAAGTACAAACGCAACAGTGCAAAGTGGTGAGATTGCACTACCAGTGTAAACCCGTTACACAGTGAAGGTTCTGCTGTTATTCAACACAGTCGAAAAGTCATCATTCAGAGAAACGTTACAGACCCTGAATCCACAGTACGAGCTGCCAGGCTGTAAGAACTTCAGCAAGACAGCCGTGTCTGAGATGTTCGAGCTGAAGTTGAGCGTTTGGATCAACACAGTGGAGTTTAACTCAGTGACAACTGACATGTGGTCAGTACTGCTATGACTCTGTATCCGTCACTGACAGTACACTTTATTTCACCGCAGTGGAAGCTTGGAAACAGTGCAGACTGCAACCAGTGTGGCTGGAGGTCTTGGCTCTGTACTCCAGGACTGGAAGCTGAGTGAAGATAAAGTAACCTGCATTAAAACAGACAACACTGCAAATATAAAGTCAGCCGTGAAACGAACTTGGATGGCAATGGTTAAATTGCTTTGAGCATAACCTACATCTGGGTGTGACGACTGCAGTTAAGAGCCAAGGACAGTGCAGCTCTGGGTCTGTGCTGATCGATCGTTGGTACTTTTCCCCACAGCTGGCAGAAGAAGGGGACCTCGATAAAAGCTCAGCTCATAACTGCAGCTCCCTGAACTTTCCCTTATTTCAATACAGACTCATGAGAAGGAATAATTATTGAATAAACAAACAAATGAACAAACAAACAAACAAACAAACAAACATCTTAAATGTTGTTTATTTAAATGCAATTTTTATTATTATTTAAAACAAACAATATTAGAATGCATGAATGTGTGCTCTTTAATAAATAACTATTAAATAAAAATTATATTTATAGAAAAAGAGATAAACAAGTAAACAGCTAAACAATTATTTACTTATATATTTAAGAAATAATGAATATTTATTTACCATTTTTGTGGTAAAGCAGCATTGTGCCACACGCTGGGGCATAATTGAGCAGGCCCAAGCAATTGGATGTGTCCTAGCTGCTGACCGACGTGCACAGCCACTGACCGGTCAGGACCTTGATGTGCTGGAAGCGATGAACAAGGCTCTTAAGCCAGTTGCAGACTTCACTGATGTTCTGTCAGGAGAGGATTTTGTCACCATATCATTGCTTTTCCCAGCACTTCTGCTTCTGAAAAGCGACGTATTGAGTGAATCAGAAACAGACGCACAGCTAATGAAGGACATCAAACGCTGGAGTTTGACTAGAACTGGAGTGAACTATGACTGCGAGTCAACCAGAAGATTGATGTGACTGCAGCACTGCTGGACCCCTTATTTCGTGGCGAACGCTTAGCTGAAGATGATTTGAGGCAGACAGAAGCTGAAGTACATACTGAAATGGTCACAATGAAGCTGGAACAGGGCCAGATAAGTGTCTCCACGAGACAAGAAGAGGATGACCCCCCGTTAAAGAAGAAACCATCGGGCAGCTATTTGTCCAAAGTAAAACCATCACGAGTCTGTTTCCCTGAAGAGGAACTACTGCTTAATTGACCCCGTATGAACAGGAAGCAACTCTTGATGGAGATGATGATACGTTATCAAGGTGGTGTACGATGATAAACGCCTGCCTGTAATGGCCCAACAAGCAGCCCATCCGAGTGTTTTCAGCACAGCTCTCATCCTAAACCTGACGAGGTTAACAGGCTTGTCTTTCTTGTGAAGAATGTGTGAGTGCGCTGACTCAGAGTAGTGAAAACAGTTCATTTTGCTGAATGTACAATTTTTACACAATACTCTGTTAATTTCCAGCATATTCTGTGATGATAGTCGGCTGTTAAAACAATCCAACAGAATGTTTTTTGTCATAGTTGAGGCTCCTAATTTGAACTTCATGATTTACTGCTATAAATCTAAATAAAGTCTTTCTGTCTGATGCCGACTGAATTAAACTGCTGTAGTCATGAGTGCAGAAGTGCTTATCGGTAACAGATGAAAAACAAATGACAATATTTGTGCATGAAACAATCTAGGCTGTTAAAGACTAAGATAATAATACGAATCATAATCATAATCATAATATACCATAATAATTATACTACTAAATAATAATAATAATAATAATAATATAATAATAATAATAATTATTATTTATTATTATTTTGTATTATTATTATTTCTTCTTTAACATAACTTTGTTTTTTTCCAGAATTAAGATTCACTGCTATAATTCTCCTTTGCTGTTCCACTGAGACGCAGCAGTTCACTTACATAGGCTGCAGTAAAATGATCACGTGTCTGAAACAGATGAAAGACTCTGGCTGGGTTTTCTTCATAAATAAATTTTTTACATGATAATATCGTTTATCGTGATAATTCTGGAGATCATTTGTCTAAATCTACATTATCGCCCAAGCCTAATGTGTTCTCCAGTCTCATTATCCATCATAGGAGAGACTCAGATCTGTTATCTTTGCAAAGGGAGGCAGCACAAAGTATTAAATGAAGGGGTGCCAACAGTTGTGACACTGATTTAGGTATCACCTTCAGTCATTGTTCTTCAAATAAATGTTAGACTTTTGGTAATATTTTGCATGAACAATGAAAAAGATCAGCAATAAAGAATGTTTTTACAGCTTGCTTTGCTCCTGTTTACCAGGGGTGCCAATATTGTGGAGGGCAGTGTAACAGTAGAAACGTGGATGTACTTTATTACATGAACACTGGTATAAACTCACACTGCAGCTGTTACAGGTTCCTTTTAAGCCCATATTACACTGTGTTTTAGTTTATAGTACTGACTCCGCCCACAACATAAACACTACAGAACACAGCTGGAGCGTTCTGCTCTCTTCAAACTGACACGTTCTGTTTATTTCATATTTTATTGTTTCCAGTGGTCGTAATTTTAACACTATAAAGTTTGGTCAGTAGGGGGAGCTGTGCACTCACTGCTCAGCCTCAAACTCTACTTAAAGCACAGTCATTGACTCACAGCTGCTGAATGCTGATGTTTTATAGGCTTCCTGCTGAAACACATCTGCATGAGTTACGTCGTGCTTCATGTAAATGATATGTTTATGAAGGTAAATTGAGGCGTGTCTGCTAATTATATGTAAATGAGGTACTCGTGTGCAGGCGCTTGTTTCCACCTCTGAAGATTCATCAGTTGAGCTCAAATCAGAGCTTGTCTCTGTTTTCTTACTCCAGTTTCCTGAATCAGATTCAGAGTAGTCTGTCCTTCATTCAGGGCGGTCAGATCTGAGCTCTTCTCTACACAAGTTTGATGAATAAGGACACAATGTGAATGATGTCCAGCACTGTTCTTTACACTGCAGTCCACTCAGGCAGTCTGAGAATGAATGAGCATTGTGAGGTCCTGCCTGTGTGGATCAGAGCTCTTTTAATGATGGACAGACTCTACTGAAGCTCTACCAGCTCCTGTCTGTGGAGGATTAGTAGGTTAGTAGGCAGGTTAGTTGGGGTTCTTGTGAAATGTGTGATGAACCAAGTAGGGCAGTTTTCTCATCATGCCCTGTGAAAATAATAGCTTTGGAGTCCAGTAGAACAATTATTCTCAAAGGAATATTACACTACTTTATTATAGTAGCCCTTTGGATTATTAGGATACTGTTTATATTATTAACAGGTGGTCAGTATCTGTACTGGACTACATTTTAAAGTGACCCTCTCAGCCCTGTTAGTCACACTAGTTCATACAGTCTGTTCGCTGAACCAGGTTTATGGAGTAAGACTCTGAAATGATTTCTGCATGTTTATGTTCCTCATTAATAATGTGGAGAAATATTTTTAAATTGTTTTTTTGGAAATCTAAATATTGTATGTAAATATTTTCTTTAATACATTTCACACACACAGTGTGAGAATATGAACAGTAACTAACTCTACAAACAGCTGCTACCTTGAAAACAGATCAACACCTGCTGATTTTCTCTTCATGTGTGCTCGTGTTCATTCTTTATCTTCTCTGTTTGCAGCAGTGGAAGAACTGAGAAGAGGTAAAGTGGAGTTTTTATTTTCTTACTGTTTACATTTGTTTAACCAGAGAATCTGAAGTTTATCTGATACTGTATGATCCACTGAATCAGTGTGGAGCTGAAGGAGATCCACACATGTAAACAGTGAAACAGCAGAGGATCTGTTCACAGTCAGAACTGTTACAGAGCTCCATCCTGAAATGGGTGTTTGGAGATGAGGGTGAGAGTCACACTGAACATGAACAGAGCAGCAGCTCCAGAAGGGCACTGTCTGCTTCAACAAACTCCCTGTGAATGATGTCCAGCACCAGTCCTTACATTCCATATCTCTAATCATTTCAGCCAGACTGATAGCTTATCATTACTTTATAATCAGAGTCACTTTATTTCACCAAGTGTGTTACTTGTACAGGGAGTTTGTCTTGGTGAGTCACAGATGTGTGACATGTGACATACTGAACAGAGCAGACACACAGACTGATAACAAGAATTAAACTAAGAGACAAATAAAATAAAAAACAATAATAAAGAGCTGATGTGAAATGAGCTAAAGAGATGTGTGGATATCTGTAAATATGCTGATATAAATATCTATACATATACAGGTTTGAGTGGACAGAGACTGTAATAACTATTATATACAGAATTTTACAGAATGGTATTAATATTTGTATAGTTATGGAGGAGTTACTGTAGTACAGTGAGGAGGTTTGATGGTCAGTGTAGTGAGTGTCCACTGTGGTTAATGAGCTGCAGCTCTGGGGAAAAACCTATTAGCATGTCTGGTTGTGCTGGTTTTGATGGCCCTGAATCTTCTACCAGAGGGGTGAGTCTGAATGAGGTGATGTCCAGGATGAGAGAGGTCAGCTGTAGTTTTGCTGGTGTGCTTAGTCATCCTGCTGTGGATGTCCTGAAGCTTTGGCAGATACATCCAGTGACCCTCTCCACTGTCCTGATTAAGCTCTGGAATTCTGTGGTAGTGGTGAATGATGTGAGGACGGACTTGATGATCGCTGGGTAGAACTGGATCATCAGACACTGCGGGAGGTTGAATTTCTTCAGCTGTCTCAGAGGCGAGAGAGCCAGGGTGGGGGAGGTGGGTTGGGACTGGGGGAGAGAGAGGCTGAAGATTGTGTGTTTAAATCTGCAGTAGAACTCATTCAGGTTGTTGTTGAGCTGGTGGTCACTCAGAAGAGAGTTTTCCTCACGTTGTAGCTGGTTCATCTTCTGGAGGACTTTACAGACCGACGCTGGGTCAGTAGCAGTCATGTGGCTTTTCAGTTTTTCTTTGCTGTTTCAATCCCTTTGTCCAAACTGTGTTTGGGCCTCTTTTAGAGAATTCTGTCTCCACTCCTGAACGCTGCCTCCTTTTCCCTCTGAAGCTGTCCGAGCTCAGCTGAAAACCAGGGTTTATCGTTGCTGTATTTGACCTACTCCATATTTGAAATGCAGCTGTCCTCACAGAAACCCATATATGATGTCACAGTATCTGTGTATTCATTAAGTTCGTCTGGCGCCTCTTCAGAAACAGTCCAATTTGTTGGACAAGCTTGTTGACTTTGAGTTTTTGCCTGTATGTTGGGATGAGGTGGACGAGACTGTGGTCAGAATGACTGAGAGCCGCGTGCATGACGGCACAATGAGCATTTTTAACAGTGGAGTAGTAATGATCTACTGTTCCCTTCTCTTGTGCACAAGTGACATGCTGTGTGTGCTTCAGCACTTTCCTCGTTGTGTTTATGTTTACGCTGTCAACGTCTCTCAAACTGATAAGCAGCGAATCTGGATTCTCTCTTTCTACTATTCTTATCTAATCAGCCAGCAGTTTCCACGCATCTCTCATACGCCTTTCCAGTGTAGCATAAACACTGACCGGTGTGAAAGACGAAACCTCTCTTGGAGAGTAGAATGATTTGCAGCTGAAGAACAGTGAAAACCTCTAGGTGCGTGATTTTATCAGTACTGTGACGTCTTCACACCAGCGTTTGTTGATGTAGAAGCAGATTCCTCCTCCCCTGGTTTTGCCAGTTAGCTCCACATCTCTGTCTGCTCTGTGCAGCTGGAAGCCGTGTAGGTCCAGCGCGCTGTCTGGGGTCAGATCAGGAGGTCAGGTCTCTGTAGAGCAGAGGGCAGATGAGGGTGAACAGTCACTGCTGGTTTTGTTGGTTATATTTTGAGATAACGTGTAAAAACAAATGCTGACTTAAAAAATCAGGACGTCGTCTTTAGAATAAGTAACATATTCAGATGTAGTGACTCCAGAACAGATAAAGACTGTTTATCTGAAGTTTCCACAGAGCTGCTGGTTTTTCTTCTCAGATTTTTTTTCATTGTAAGTAAAATATTATGTGGAACTGTAAGATGTTAAAGTCCTTTAAGCTGTAGATTTTTTACAATCAAAATACTACATATTTCAGTATTTCACTCTCTCTCTCCCTCCCTCACTCACATATACTCTCTCACTCTCACTCTCTCACTCACATACACTCTCTCTCTCTCTCTCTCACTCACACATACTCTCTCACTCTCTCTCACTCACTCACACATACTCTCTCTCTCTCTCTCTCCCTCACTCACACATACTCTCTCACTCTCTCTCACTCACACATACTCTCTCTCTCTCTCTCCCTCACTCACACATACTCTCTCAGTCTCTCACTCACACACTCTCTCACTCACACATACTCTCTCTCACTCTCTCTCACTCACACATACTCACTCTCTCTCTCTCTCTCTCCCTCTCCCCCTCACTCACACATACACTCTCTCTCTCTCTCTCTCTCTCTCTCCCTCACTCACACATACTCTCTCAGTCTCTCACTCACACATACTCTCACTCTCTCACTCACACATACTCTCTCTCACTCTCTCTCACTCACACATACTCTCTCTCTCTCTCTCTCTCCCTCACTCACACATACTCTCTCAGTCTCTCACTCACACATACTCTCACTCTCTCACTCACACATACTCTCTCTCACTCTCTCTGACTCACACATACTCTCTCTCTCTCTCTCTCTCTCTCCCTCACTCACACATTCTCTCTCTCTCCCTCACTCACACATACACAAACAGAAATAAGAGAAAGATAATAATCTAGATTACAGTAGAGCACTAGAAATGAAGTTATTCACAGGATTAATAATCAATAAAGGGAAAAGGAAAATAAGAGTCAACACATTTCAGAATGTTATTGTTGTTATTTTAGAATATTATTTGATGTTATTTAATCCTTCTGTGAAAGAAGGATAGACTCCTTCTAATCTTAGTTTTAATCTTCATTAATCATTTGTTAATATTAAAATGTTATGTATTTTATTACAGACTCTCAGCCATTTGTCTTCGATATATGCATAGATATATATTACTTCTTTAAATCTGTTTTTTAGCTTCATCATCCCATCAGTGATAACACGCATTGAGGAAGTCAGAGGAGAAGCAGAATGATGACTCTTCAGTGGAGATGGGTTTGCTGAATAAAACAGGCCTACAGGACTCTTAGAAGAATATAACAGATGTCTGAACTCTTCCTGTTTTTACTGTCTAATATTTTAATTATTTTTACTGTCTGAAATGTTTTAAGGCTGTTTTTCTATTTGAACCTTTTCAGTGTTTTATGTCGACTCAGATCTCTGAGTCATGGTTTTCAGTTTATATGTGAAAACATGAAGCTCAGAATCTCAGCCTCTCACAGACACACACACACACACACATACCAACACACACTTACACACACACCGACACACACACGCACAGACACAATCTTATTACACACACCACACACACACACACACACACTCAGTCTCTCTCACAGATACACACACCAACACACACACACACATACATATACACACACACACACCAACACACACACACATACACACACACACACACACACACATAAACACACACACACAGACACACACACACACAGACACAATCTTATTACACACACACTGACACACACACACAATCTTATTACGCACACACACACACACATACACACACAATCTTATTACACACACACACACACACACTGAAGGTCATTAAGATGAACTCTCACCATCACACTACACAAACCTGTTCCCTCTCAACTCTTTCCATCACTGTTTCTCTTTACTTCCTAAAGCTCAGTCTAACTCCACACATGATGGACTGTACATACAGATCATACTGCATTTACACAAACTGCTCTGCTGTGTTTCTGCTGCAGTTTGTAGTGCTGTAAACTAGAGGTGGGCAATTTGGCAGAAATATCACATCATGATACTTAAAGATATTTTCACTATACACAATATGAATTACAGTGATTTGACACAGACTCAGTTCACTAGTAGAGTCATAGTTAAAACAGCATACAGTGAATTATATTCTACATTTCCCACAGTGCACTGCTCTAAATCCAGTTAAACAGGATTGATTATGCTCTCTTTATGATGAAACATGCAGCTGGTCTTTTTTCTTTAATTACAGATTATATCCATCATATACCCAGCAAGGTGTTTATCACAATAACAAAATGTATTATTTAGTGTATCTTGTATGTTCTGCATGTGTTCTTGCTCTGTATGAAGATGTTTTTAAAACCAGATGTTCCAAACTCTGCTGCACAGCTGATGATGATGAATGAAAGTGATTCTGATGGTGAACAGCAGTGCAGCATGAATGACCCTTAGATTCAGCTGAGTGTCGGTATTTATGCCAGAGCTCCAGCAGCATCAGGCTTCATTACACACTTCACCACTAGAGGGAGATAAAATCTTACTGCAATGGAAGACCTGCCTCTGTCTGCCTCTGTCCTTATGCTCTCTATCATTATGGTAATGAATGTGAAAACAAAAAGAAACAAAAAAGTGTGTGTTGAAATGTGATCAGCCTCTTATTGTTACATATTATTTTACTTTTATTTTTAATTTTTCTTTTATATTTACTAACTCATTTATGATCTGTTACATGTTTGAAGCCAATAAAACGGATGGTAAGATGATTTGAATGTTTCTGTCTTTCACTGCTGATCTGTGTTTTGTCGCTTCTCTTCATTTGAATCCAACAGAACAGAGTTTCTCTCTCTTTAAACCCTCAGCTGATCCTCTTACTCTGATCACAGTTTCTCTCTCTTTAAACCCTCGGCTGATCCTCTTACTCTGATCACAGTTTCTCTCTCTTTAAACCCTCGGCTGATCCTCTAACTCTGATCACAGTTTCTCTCTCTTTATACCCTCAGCTGATCCTCTTACTCTGATCACAGTTTCTCTCTCTTTAAACCCTCGGCTGATCCTCTTACTCTGATCAGAGTTTCTCTCTCTTTAAACCCTCGGCTGATCCTCTTACTCTGATCACAGTTTCTCTCTCTTTAAACCCTCGGCTGATCCTCTTACTCTGATCACAGTTTCTCTCTCTTTAAACCCTCAGCTGATCCTCTTACTCTGATCACAGTTTCTCTCTCTTTAAACCCTCAGCTGATCCTCTTACTCTGATCAGAGTTTCTCTCTCTTTAAACCCTCAGCTGATCCTCTTACTCTGATCACAGTTTCTCTTTCTTTAAACCCTCAGCTGATCCTCTTACTCTGATCTCAGTTTCTCTCTCTTTAAACCCTCGGCTGATCCTCTTACTCTGATCACAGTTTCTCTCTCTTTAAACCCTCGGCTGATCCTCTTACTCTGATCACAGTTTGTCTCTCTTTAAACCCTCGGCTGATCCTCTTACTCTGAACAGTTTTTCTCTCTTTAAACCCTCGGCTGATCCTCTTACTCTGAACAGTTTTTCTCTCTTTAAACCCTCAGCTGATCCTCTTACTCTGAACAGTTTCTCTCTCTTTAAACCCTTGGCTGATCCTCTTACTCTGATCACAGTTTCTCTCTCTTTAAACCCTCAGCTGATCCTCTTACTCTGATCAGGTTTTCTCTCTCTTTAAACCCTCAGCTGATCCTCTTACTCTGAACAGTTTCTCTCTCTTTAAACCCTTGGCTGATCCTCTTACTCTGATCACAGTTTCTCTCTCTTTAAACCCTCAGCTGATCCTCTTACTCTGATCAGAGTTTCTCTCTCTTTAAACCCTCAGCTGATCCTCTAACTCTGATCACAGTTTCTCTCTCTTTAAACCCTCAGCTGATCCTCTTACTCTGATCAGTTTCTCTCTCTTTAAACCCTCAGCTGATCCTCTTACTCTGATCAGTTTCTCTCTCTTTAAACCCTCGGCTGATCCTCTTACTCTGATCAGAGTTTCTCTCTTTAAACCCTCGGCTGATCCTCTTACTGTGATCACAGTTTCTCTCTCTTTAAACCCTCAGCTGATCCTCTTACTCTGATCACAGTTTCTCTCTCTTTAAACCCTCGGCTGATCCTCTTACTCTGATCACAGTTTCTCTCTCTTTAAACCCTCGGCTGATCCTCTTACTCTGATCACAGTTTCTCTCTCTTTAAACCCTCAGCTGATCCTTTTACTCTGATCACAGTTTCTCTCTCTTTAAACCCTCAGCTGATCCTCTTACTCTGATCACAGTTTCTCTCTCTTTAAACCCTCAGCTGATCCTCTTACTCTGATCAGAGTTTCTTTCTCTTTAAACCCTCAGCTGATCCTCTTACTCTGATCAGAGTTTCTTTCTCTTTAAACCCTCGGCTGATCCTCTTACTCTGATCTCAGTTTCTCTCTCTTTGAACCCTCGGCTGATCAGCTTTTCTCTCTCTTTAAACCCTCGGCTGATCCTCAAACTCTGATCACAGTTTCTCTCTCTTTAAACCCTCGGCTGATCCTCTTACTCTGATCACTTTCTCTCTCTCTTTAAACCCTCGGCTGATCCTCTTACTCTGATCAGAGTTTCTCTCTCTTTAAACCCTCGGCTGATCCTCTTACTCTGATCACTTTCTCTCTCTCTTTAAACCCTCAGCTGATCCTCTTACTCTGATCAGAGTTTCTCTCTCTTTAAACCCTCGGCTGATCCTCTTACTCTGATCACAGTTTCTCTCTCTTTAAACCCTCGGCTGATCCTCTTACTCTGATCACAGTTTCTCTCTCTTTAAACCCTCAGCTGATCCTCTTACTCTGATCACAGTTTCTCTCTCTTTAAACCCTCAGCTGATCCTCTTACTCTGATCACAGTTTCTCTCTCTTTAAACCCTCAGCTGATCCTCTTACTCTGATCAGAGTTTCTCTCTCTTTAAACCCTCAGCTGATCCTCTTACTCTGATCAGAGTTTCTCTCTCTTTAAACCCTCGGCTGATCCTCTTACTCTGATCAGTTTCTCTCTCTTTGAACCCTCGGCTGATCAGCTTTTCTCTCTCTTTAAACCCTCGGCTGATCCTCAAACTCTGATCACAGTTTCTCTCTCTTTAAACCCTCGGCTGATCCTCTTACTCTGATCACTTTCTCTCTCTCTTTAAACCCTCGGCTGATCCTCTTACTCTGATCACAGTTTCTCTCTCTTTAAACCCTCGGCTGATCCTCTTACTCTGATCACAGTTTCTCTCTCTTTAAACCCTCAGCTGATCCTCTTACTCTGATCACAGTTTCTTTTGGATCCTCTCATAAAAATCCAAAACATGGAGAACAAGCAGGCAGAATAACCAGGGGGAGGGAATTAAAGTCTTAATGTGTATCAGAGGAAAATATGTTTGTCCACAATTTTACAAAAGAAAGCCTATTGAACTGCATTTTACCAGAATTTTTATTACAAACTACTAAAAGCAAGCTTTTCCATCTTAGCTTAGATGTTAAGTATTTATCTATTTTTTGTTTGTTTGTTTGTTTGTCATTCAGCTGTGGAGGGTGAAACATAAATAAATAAATAAAAGTGGCAGAAAATTGTAAATAAACATAAAATCCTAAATAAATAAGTACATGTTTGTTATTTATGATTTCATGTAATTCTACATTTATTTCTATATTACTGTTTTCAGTATGCTAATGAGAAAGACTAAACCTACACACTATTGGTTAATCACAGAGAAAGTAGTGTGTTTGATTACTCTTGCCTTGTTTTTTGAATCACTGCTAATACTTCAGTGATGCAGGATCAGAGCAGAGTCTCTACGCTGTTACATATAATAGTGGATGAATCAGACAGTGGACACCTGGACAGGGACTACGTCCTGCAGAGTTAGGAGAGCTGAGCAGTGAAATAGATGGGGATGAATCAGTGACCTTTCAAGATGCTGCTGACCAACTTCAGAGTCAGAGGAGACAGACGGTTTATCAAACTGAAGACTTTATCGTTATGTATCACTAACAGCCGGACGCTGACTGTGTGCAGACACGGCTCACCAGACAGACTCTGATCTGCAGACGCTGATGCTGCAGGGTCAGCGATGTCCAGCTCAGCCCACTGGAGGGTCATATTTAAATCAATGTAATTATATAATAACACTGTATAACTGTAATATCTGTCATTTAACAGAAACAAATGAACACGGCTGTTTAGTCGAACAGTGAAATCTAATAGAACCTGACAAAGTCTTCAGTTCGCCAGACTGGGATTGTCTAGGACTCTACATCCATTCTATCGACCTGCTGATTAGTAGAGTCTGGTTCACCTTTCAAACCAACCTTGACTGATTTACGTTTAAAATTAGAATTATGTTAATGCTGCCCACCTCATTAGACTGGACTGGAGGAACAAGTAGGGAAATATATGCAGAAATAAATAAAAGCAGAAATAAATGAAATATTTATTTATTTCAGTATTTCTGCTCATATGTGTATACATTTGTCCTCCATGTTCCATATTTGTCTGCTAAAACAGATAATCAGTGTTTAAGTCCACACCAGCTGTGACAAATGCTCATCT